ACCAGTCAGTATCTAACATCATATTTAAACTATTATTATTAACTCGCTGCTTTCATTACAAAGTCACTCAATATTATATAAATTATAATCAAAGAATCCATATCCACAGTTCGTTCCGTATCACTGGCAGTGTCGGAAAAAATTTAGAGGAAACGGGAAAACCATCCCCAACATTATGCCGAAAGATGCTGAGTTCTCAATCCGTCGAGCAACCTGGTGGGAAAGCTCTTCCAGAAGAGATCCCTATCCCAAGGCACAAACCCATTTATCACCGAATTGAAGGTGACGCAGCGTCGGGGGCACACACCACTTGAAGTCATGAGCCGAATCGACCCCTGCAACCGCATTATAATAGACGAGTACACAAACAACGTTGAACAGAGCTTGTCACTAGAAAGTGATTCAGTACATCAAGTCCTCAGGTTCAGTGACCGCTGCTGAAGCGATTATTGCCCTGACTATTCAGTACTGACAAACTACTCTCACCCGCCTAGTTTTTCATGTCATCTCCATGAAGATACTATGATTTTTTTTAACGAAACCGACTTATTATACGACTGATTTCCCTCCCATCCATTATAGACCCTTTATCTCAATCCAAGATGCCCAACACTGACCCCATGTACAATGCCACTTTTGTCTGGTACCCATTCTTTATAGTCTTTGTTGATTTTCCACCAACTGTGCCTGATAGCTTTGACTGTACCAATACATTATATGTATCGGTGTTGTGTGGAACCCTCTCAAAAAGCCTTACCTAAGTCCAGATAAATAACTTTGTATTTTACAATTGTACACTGTATCAAATATGTATGCCCACCTTGTTCTTCCTTGCCTTGACCTTTCTTCATCTATCTATATCCTCTTCAACCTTTGAACAGCCCTGCCTCCCTCCAAAGTAACCCTTTCCTCCTCCCCACTATTATATCGATCGACGCTTAAACAACCACATATGAAATGTTCTTCCCCTCGACGCCCTAAAGTCTCGAGGTGACAGATTCCAGTACCTCAAGTATGCAACCCATTCTGTGTAGTTATTAATAAAAACCTTGGCATCATCAGAAATCTTTTCCGAACACTACTTTCCCGTTGCAGCCTCCGTCTGACATGCTATGAAAACTCCCTATTCTGACTTTTATTGTCCATTTTAATTAAGTCTTTTCATCATCCTTTACTTTCCATTCATTTGCACTTCCTGACACCTAACCTTCTGGATGCCATTATTAGTCTCTTGGAGGGGAACCCAAAGACTGGGGCCTGACAGGAGAAACGAGGGCATCCGTAGATAACTATGATAAGACCTGATTTTCAAACTTACCCCCACTTGAGTCCTTGTATCATTTCCCCTAGAATGTAATTGAGAACTGTTAGCCAAGTTCTAGTTGTTGTTGGATAAAATGGGTCGGTAGGTGTTAGAAGACCTCTTGCACGAGTCTTGCCTCGCTAAAGTGAACCCTTTTTTTTTTTTTTTAACTGAGTGTACTACCGCCGAGCTACGAGATGCCAGAGCACCAGGAAAGGTGAAGTAACGTAATCCTCCAGATAAACCAGTTTTGATATTCAAGACAGACGCAGCTGCAGGTTAAGGCCCTGGCTGGATATTCCACCCAAATTCAATTTGCATAATACAGACAAGTGCGCAGATTTCTAAGCAATCGTGCTTGGCTCTAACTGCGCTAACTCCATCGACCTTTAGCTAATAAAGTGCCCTTTAATTGGATACTTCATCTGCCTCCAAATACAAATACGGCAGTCCATTACTGGGGTTCTGTTAGGCATGTTCAGTACCTTATTTACATCTTTATTCTGTAAAGTAAAAGGACACAAGTGCAACTAATGTGACATTTATTGTGGCAACGTTTCGCTCTCCAGAAGCTTTATCAAGCCATTACAAACAATACATGGACAAAGAGGGTATATAAAGGCTCAGAGTGAGGTGTAATACTAGTGAGGTACCATTTCGAGTTCATGTAGTAGTAGTATAGTAGTATGTAGTATAAGTAGTATATAGTAGTAGTTAATATAGTAGTAGTAGTAGTATAGTAGTATAGTAGTAGTGTATAGTAGTATAGTAGTAGTATAGTATAGTAGTAGTATAGTAGTAGGTATAGTAGGTAGTAAGTAGTAAGTAGTAGTAGTGTAGTATAAGTAGTAGTAGTTAGTAGTAGTAGTAGTTATAGTAGTAGTAGTATAGTAGTAGTAGTAGTAGTAGATAGTAGTAGTAGTAGTAGTAGTATAGTGTAGTATAGTAGTAGTAGTATAGTAGTAGTAGTAGTTAGTAGTATAGTAGTAGTAGTATAGTAGTATGTAGTAGTAGTAGTATAGTAGTATAGTGTAGTATAGTAGTAGAAGTGTATAGTATGTAGTAGTAGTAGTAGTAAGTATATAGTAGTAGTATAGTAGTAGTAGTATAGTAGTAGTAGTATAGTAGTAGTAGTATAGTAGTAGTAGTATAGTAGTAGTAGTATAGTAGTAGTAAATAGTAGTAGTAGTAGTATAGTAGTAGTATAGTAGTAGTAGTAGTAGTAGTATGTATTAAGTAGTATAGTAGTAGTATATAGTAGAGTAGTATAGTTAGTAGTTAGTAGTATAGTATAGTAGTATAGTAAGTAGTAGTAGTATAGTAGTAGTAGTATAGTAGTAGTAGTAGTATAGTAGTAGTAGTAGTATAGTAGTATAGGTATAGTAGTAGTATAGTAGTAGTAGTACTAGTAGTAGTAGTAGTATAGTAGTAGTAGTACTAGTAGTAGTAGTGACAAAAGTAATACAATATGGTAGAGCAATTAATTCGTACATGAGTAAAAGGATATAAAAGCTATTACTTGGGTAACAAAAATAGGTTGGACAAATATAGACTGGAATGAGGCAGCTTGTTTCAGTGTTCACTCTCTGTGCTTTGTGTAGTATAACAGGAGAGACTATGTAATGGCAGGGTTTACTGTTTTCAGGAGGATTCTTGCTAAGACTTCGGAGATGGTGAAGCTGCTGTTGTTTTGTTTAATTGTATTCGAAACAGCGATCAGTGCTGATTCGAGGCACTTGCGTCTGCGGAAATTAGTTTCTTTGATCACTAATTGGGCGTCTCTGAATTTCATGAGATGATTGGTGGAATTTCGGTGTTGTACACAGGCGTTGTTCAAGTTATCGTTCCTACATGCGTAAATGTGTTCATTGAGGCGGGTGTCGAGGTTTCTGGCTGTTTCACCTACGTAAATCTTGTCACAGCCTCCACAGGGTATAGTGTAAACTCCTGCATTGACTGGTTCGTGGTGCTTGGATTTTGTCCTGGTTAGATCCTTTATTGAAGTGCTAGAAGCGATGGCGACTCTGGTGTTAGCTTGTGAAAGTACTTTTGAGACGTTCAGTGCAACCTGACTGTTGGGAAGAATTATAACTTTGCTGGGAGTGGTGTTGATGCGTGGAGAATTTATGATCTGAAGAGCTCTTTTCTTGCAGTCTTTGATGAAAAAAGAAGGAAAATGTAACTCTGTGAATGTTTGTACACTCCTCGTCAAGAAACTCAGGACTACAAATTCGGTATGCTCTTAGGAAAAACCCGATGATGATGCCTCTTTTGGTCTTGGTATCTTGACAAAGTTATATTTCTTCCCAACAGTCAGGTTGCACTGAACGTCTCAAAAGTACTTTCACAAGCTAACACCAGAGTCGCCATCGCTTCTAGCACTTCAATAAAGGATCTAACCAGGACAAAATCCAAGCACCACGAACCAGTCAATGCAGGAGTTTACACTATACCCTGTGGAGGCTGTGACAAGATTTACGTAGGTGAAACAGCCAGAAACCTCGACACCCGCCTCAATGAACACATTTACGCATGTAGGAACGATAACTTGAACAACGCCTGTGTACAACACCGAAATTCCACCAATCATCTCATGAAATTCAGAGACGCCCAATTAGTGATCAAAGAAACTAATTTCCGCAGACGCAAGTGCCTCGAATCAGCACTGATCGCTGTTTCGAATACAATTAAACAAAACAACAGCAGCTTCACCATCTCCGAAGTCTTAGCAAGAATCCTCCTGAAAACAGTAAACCCTGCCATTACATAGTCTCTCCTGTTATACTACACAAAGCACAGAGTGAACACTGAAACAAGCTGCCTCATTCCAGTCTATATTTGTCCAACCTATTTTTATGTTACCCAAGTAATAGCTTTTATATCCTTTTACTCATGTACGAATTAATTGCTCTACCATATTGTATTACTTTTGTCACTACCACTACTACTACTCACCACCACCACTAGTGAACATCGAAATGGTACCTCACTAGTATTACACCTCACTCTGAGCCTTTATATACCCTCTGTGTCCATGTATTGTTTGTAATGGCTTGATAAAGCTCCTGGAGAGCGAAACGTTGCCACAATAAATGTCACATTAGTTGCACTTGTGTCCTTTTACTTTACATATTGTCGGTAATTCTACCAACTTTATTACAATCTTTATTCTGATTTTCTATGAGCACATTTCACTAAATTTTACCAAAAAGTCTGTCTTTTCAGGGTAATTTTTTGCTCTTTTAATATATCTTCGTAAAAGTTTTAGATACAGGAAATTGACATTATTATTTTCCCGTATGTGTGTATTAGAAAGAAAAAAAGCCTGGTCTCTAAGCGAAACGTTATCTAATTGTCCATGCTGCTTCAGTTTTACCAGACTCGGTGACGGCCCCTGTGGAACGCCATATATAACGGGTTCCATTACCTGTAATAATCTCAATTATCAGCCATGTTTCTAGATATAATTTCTCCAATATCGCATGACGCTATTTTCTTTATCAGTTGTCTGTGTGGAATTCGCAAAGACCTTACTGAATTTCATGATGTAGTATTCTATCATGGTCCACAGTTTTGAATGCCTTAGTGGAAAAACATTTATGAGATGAACTTAATGGGTAAAAAGTGCGCTATACTAACTACTGCATACTATCTACTTTATCGTCCTTTAATGGATTTTACTACGACTAAGACTAACCTTCCGTGGACGGAAATGCGACGTTTGTTGATTGTGCAGATGTGGAGGTCATTGTGATCCAATTGTAGTGATCACAGCTGAAGACAACAGCGCCCAGCTAGATAGCGGCCACCACACCAACTATCAAGCAAGGGGGATGGGGGGTAAATCAAATCTCTTATAGAAAACTTACTGTAAACATTTGTAAATGAAATAGTACAGCTCTACTTTACTGTGACTGATTACATCTGTTGATGGTTCCGGGGATCATCGTCCCCGTGATCAGGTCTCAGACCAAGCCTCATATTGAAAAGGAAACAAGAGAAGATTTATTAAGCAGCAGACTGGTAAAGCCAAATCAGTTCTGAAAGCAGAAGTTTGCAAAGGTTTTTCCTGTGATCTTACCTGTTCACGAAAGGCCCAGGAACCTTGCCAGGGTGCAAAACATACACGGGCTTCAGTTTCCCCCACTCGTATGACAGGACGAGAGTATTCCTGGGTGGTTCCTGCCTACCAACCTACTTCCTGTATATAGGTTTTATTCACCTACCAGTCCCGCTCGTATTGTGTGCTTTTGAAGCTACTAAAATTTTATTTTCAATGACGCTACTTGCAATTAGTTCTACTATACAACTATTGCCAAATCAGTGGATTGTTTTTACTCTTAAAAGCAATCGTGTACTGCGTTTAGTTAATATTTCAAGCAATTTTTTTTCCATATGCTTTTTATATAAATTATTTTCCCCCCCCCATCACGTGACACTGCCACTCACCATCCCCCATCACCACCCCCATCACCACCCCCATCACCAGTCCCGTGATATAGCCACCCTATCCCATCGCGTCATATTGCCACCGCCCCATTGCAAGACGTGACACTGCCACAACACCCATCGCGTGACACTACCACAACACCCATCGCGTGACACTGCCACAACACCCATCGCGTGACACTGCCACAACACCCATCGCGTGACGTGACACTGCCACAACACACGTCGCGTGGCGTGACACTGCCACAACACCCATCGCGTGACGTGACACTGCCACAACACCCATCGCGTGACGTGACACTGCCACAACACCCATCGCGTGACGTGACACTGCCGCAACACCCATCGCGTGACGTGACACTGCCACAACACCCATCGCGTGACGTGACAACACCCATCGCGTGACGTGACAACACCCATCGCGTGACGTGACAACACCCATCGCGTGACGTGACACAACACCCATCGCGTGACGTGACACAACACCCATCGCGTGACGTGACAACACCCATCGCGTGACGTGACACAACACCCATCGCGTGACGTGACACAACACCCATCGCGTGACAACACCCATCGCGTGACAACACCCATCGCGTGACAACACCCATCGCGTGACAACACCCATCGCGTGACAACACCCATCGCGTGACAACACCCATCGCGTGACAACACCCATCGCGTGACAACACCCATCGCGTGACAACACCCATCGCGTGACAACTCCCATCGCGTGACAACACCCATCGCGTGACAACACCCATCGCGTGACACACATGCGTACAACACCCATCGCGTGACAACACTCCGGACAACACCCATCGCGTGACGTAACCCTGCTGACAACACCCATCGCGTGACAATGCGTGACAACACATGCCACAACACCCATCGCGTGACGTCACCTGCGTGAAACACCCATCGCGTGACTACACTGCGGCAAACACCCATCGCGTGACGTACCCCCTGCGTGCAACACCCATCGCGTGACGTGACCCCCATGCCGGCAACACCCATCGCGTGACGTGACACTGACAACACCCATCGCGTGGCGTGACACTGCCGACAACAACACCCATCGCGTGACGTGACACTCAACACCCATCGCGTGACGTGACACTGCCACAACACCCATCGCGTGACGTGACACTGCCACAACACCCATCGCGTGACTGACAGCACACCCATCGCGTGACGTGACACGCGCAACACCCATCGCGTGACGTGACACTAACACCCATCGCGTGACGTGACAAACCCATCGCGTGACGTGACACAACACCCATCGCGTGACGTGACAACACCCATCGCGTGACGTGACAACAACCCATCGCGTGATGTGACAACACCCATCGCGTGACGTGACAACACCCATCGCGTGACGTGACAACACCCATCGCGTGACGTGACAACACCCATCGCGTGACACTGCCACAACACCCATCGCGTGGCGTGACACTGCCACAACACCCATCGCGTGACGTGACACTGCCACAACCCATCGCGTGACACTGCCACAACACCCATCGCGTGACACTGCCACAACACCCATCGCGTGACGTGACACCTGCCACATACACCCATCGCGTGACGTGAACATCTGCCGCACAACACCCATCGCGTGACGTGACACTGCCACAACACCCATCGCGTGACGTGACACTGCCACAACACCATCGCGTGACGTGACACTGCCACAACACCCATCGCGTGACGTGACACTGCCACAACACCCATCGCGTGACGTGACACTGCCACAACACCCATCGCGTGACGTGACACTGCCGCAACACCCATCGCGTGACGTGACCTGCCCAACACCCATCGCGTGACGTGACACTGCCACAACACCCATCGCGTGACGTGACAACACCCATCGCGTGACGTGACACAACACCCATCGCGTGACGTGACAACACCCATCGCGTGACGTGACACAACACCCATCGCGTGACGTGCAAACCATAACACCCATCGCGTGACGTGACAACACCCATCGCGTGACGTGACAACACCCATCGCGTGACGTGACAACACCCATCGCGTGACGTGACAACACCCATCGCGTGACGTGACACAACACCATCGCGTGACTGACACAACACCCATCGCGTGACAACACCATCGCGTGACAACACCCATCGCGTGACAACACCCATCGCGTGACACAACACCCATCGCGTGACAACACCCATCGCGTGACAACACCCATCGCGTGACAACACCCATCGCGTGACAACACCCATCGCGTGACAACACCCATCGCGTGACACACCACGGACAACCCATCGCGTGACAACACCCATCGCGTGACAACACCCATCGCGTGACAACACCCATCGCGTGACAACACCCATCGCGTGACAACACCCATCGCGTGACAACACCCATCGCGTGACAACACCCATCGCGTGACAACACCCATCGCGTGACGTGACAACACCCATCGCGTGACGTGACAACACCCATCGCGTGACGTGACAACACCCATCGCGTGACGTGACACTGAAACAACACCCATCGCGTGACGTGACAACACCCATCGCGTGACGTGACAACACCCATCGCGTGACGTGACAACACCCATCGCGTGACGTGACAACACCCATCGCGTGACGTGACACACACCCATCGCGTGACGTGAACTGCCGACAACACTCATCCGTTCAGACATCAAAACATCGCGTGACGACACTGCAACACATCGGTGATGACAACCCGCGTATGACATGCACAACCATCGCGTGGTCTGAACACCATCGCGTGACAGACAAACCATGCGCTGACAACCATCGGTGAGTGACATGCAAAACATCGCGGACGTGACACACACCCATGCGTGCGTGACCCGCACACCATCGCGTGACGTGACACTGCCAACACCATCGCGTGACGTGCAACCCCATCGGTGAGTGACACACCATGCGTGCACTGCCAACACCCATCGCGTGACATGACAACACCCATCGCGTGACGTGACACGACACACTCCGTGCGTGACACACACACCATCGCGTGACGACACTGCCACACACCATCGCGTGACGTGACACTGCCACAACACCATCGCGTGACGTGACACTGCCGCAACACCATCGCGTGACTGCACTGCCGCAACACCATCGCTGACGTGACAAACCTCGCGTGTGAATGCACAACACATCGCGTGACGATGCACAAACCCATCGCGTGACTGACAACACCATCGCGTGAGTGACACTGCCACACCTCGCGGCGTGACACTGCACACACACGCGTGAGTGACAACACATCGCGTGACGTGACACACCATCGCGTGAGTGACCAACACCATCGCGTGAGTGACAACCCCATGCGTGAGTGACACAACACTCGCGGCTGACACACCATCGCGTGACAACACCATCGCGTGACAACACCATCGCGTGACAACACCATCGCGTGAACACCATCGCGTGACAACCCATCGCGTGACAACACCCACGCGTGACACACCATCGCGTGAACCCCATCGCGTGACACACCCATCGCGTGACAACACCATCGCGTGACAACACCATCGCGTGACAACACCCATCGCTGACAACACCATCGCGGACAACCCATCGGTGACAACACCCACGCGTGACAACACCCATCGCGTGACAACCCACGGTGACAACACCCATCGCGTGACAACACCATCGCGTGACAACACCATCGCGTGACAACACCCATCGCGGAACAACCATCGCGTGACAACACCATCGCGTGACAACACCCATGCGTGACAACACCATCGCGTGAACACCATCGCGGACAAACCCATCGCGTGCGTGACACACCCATCGGTGAGTACAACACCGCTGACGGACAACACCCACGCGTGACTGAACCATCGCGTGACGTGACAACACCTCGCGTGATGCAACACTGCTGACGGACAACACATGCGTGAGTGACAACACCATCGGTGCGTGACTGCAAACATCGACATCAAACCAACCACACCCCGGCCCAATGTTTAGTTATGTTAATTTTCTTGTTCTATCTCAACTCTGGCTCTTAGCCACGCATGGAGATCACAGCAAGTCTTTTTATAAGGCGAAGTTTAAAAAGTACCAATAATAAATATGGAAGAGAAGGTGATTAAACCTCAGTTTAAATAAAAAAAATCCAAGTAACACGAACATTAGCATTAGGAAATTAATATATATACGAGGCGGGGGTCTCGGTCTCTCTGTATACATACACAGGAAGTTTATTTTAATCCCTGTCGTAGGGATTAAATACTTTTGACTGCTGGTAAATGGGTGACATGCAACATTAACCAAGCAGGCCGCCAACAGCAACAGTCTGGTTGATTAGCCAAACACTAGAGGATCCTGGCCCAAAGACAGGGCCTCGGGA